TGTTCTCCTTGTCTCCTTCAGAGTGGAACAAACCGTGAGGCGGACAACGTACCCTTGGTAGCAAGGAATGAAGAAGATTATGATGAGTTTAGGTGTTGTTATTGCGATCCTCCTTCAAGGCTGAGGTCACTTTGACCCCCCATGCGCTTGGCTGGATACATCGCACGAAATGATGGCTGATTGATGTCACTGACGTTTGCGCTGTCGGTTCCTTCACGAGGGTGTAGGCACCTCATAACGCTTGCAACAGGCCAGCATCAGGTCCCCTCCTCCACCCACTCCTTTCTATTCCTTTCATTTTAAGGCTTTGAATATACTTGGATAAATTCGACAAATACACTGGTTTGAATACCAGTTTGGTTTTTACGGGGGGCCCAAAGGAAACTCGCTTTTGATATTCTTCAGCTGTCGAAGAGCTTTCAGCAACCGTGTGAGTAGTTTCATTTACGGGAAAACTGTGGTTGTACGTGGGTGAAGCACCAGTGTCAACACTGATGTTACTATTTTTGATTATGGGGAATATTAAGATCATTCACCCGATCTCTGCTCACTGACCCTCCTCCGCTTAAACTACCGCTCTTATTGCGTAATTATTTCCCTCCTCAAACTGCCAGAGTGCATGGAGCCTGTGCCGCTCTACTTAACACACATAGTACCCATAGCAACCGATGAATCCGATTTTTCCTCCCCATTCTTTTTGTTCAAAGTTACGTATGTACTCATCCCCAGATCCAAAGGTTCTTAAAATCACTAAGGGATGCCGTGGCATTGTGGGAGTTGTACTAAGATTCACTGATGGACCTGGGAATCTTCGGTCGTTCGTGTGTGGCAAATTTGTAGTAACGGTATTTTCCTCAGTTTATTTCTCGGTCTGAACCTCACAGGCTAGCGTTTCGGTCAAAAGCAACCAGAAAAGGTGCAAACCATATAATAACGCCCAAAACCAGTTTGAAAACAATTGTGCAGCGCTTCACACATAAAGTGTATACCACAACAATTTTGTGGAATTTCTGATGCCTTCTGGACGCGCCGCTGGCAGCCGGTATTCGGCGAATACTGGTTCACGATTGGCTGTAGGGTCCAACGTTTCGACCAATCAGCGCTCGCCTTGATGCTGGACTGGCAAGCAACCTGGTTTTTTGGCCAATCGCTTGCCTCTTGGCCGTAGCATCGCCTAACTGCGAGCGGTATCGGTACGTGGTTCCGCCTAACAAAATCACTTGCCAAGACTAATTGTGACGTGGGACCACCCCCGTAATGACTTCACTGTAGAAAACCTGTCAAGCAAAAGTGATGGGATCACATTCTTGTTCATTTGTTGGCACTCGTCATTTCATTTGCATCTCACGGAGCTTCTCTTCTCTCCCTTTCCGCTTCCATGATAAATCCTAGGATTCCGATACCGGCAGGCTGAAGTATTTTTTACCTGGGTTGTCG